AGTTATTAATATATAAAGTTTAAAAAAAATTCAATAAAAATAATTTGCTTGATTTCTATTGACTCACCCCCATATATATATTCATTAAATATTTATTAAATATTTGGTGAAAAAATTAAATATTCAAATATTCAATTTGGTGAAAAAATTATTATTCAAATATTTGAATATTCAATGAATATTTGAATATACTATTTATCAGATCAGACCTCTACTTATCTTAGGTTTGCATCAACTAATATTGGCTTATATGCTTTATATAACTTATACATTATACAAATACCCCATGTTTTCCCAATCTTGTTGGTGCAACCAAGATTATAGTGATCCTATTCCAACCAATCGTCAAAAGACAATAGCTGTCATACAAGCAAAATATTCAAAATTTTACTGTTAATAAGTTTTAAACCCCCACCTGCTAGCTTGCCACTTGAAAGTGCAACAACTTAACCACTTCACTAATTCACTACACCCTTTAACAAAATATATATTAAAAAGAAGAAGAGGTGTAAGCTTTTAATAAAAAAAATCAGGTAATAAATAATACTGTCTTTATTACAATGATTTACTGTATATTATTATTACAATATTTTGTAGTATTATTGCTTTATTTTATAATGTTATTTTATAATATTATTATTAGTTGTCCTATTGTGGTTGGGTTTAGAAGGTATATTGTTTTGCTATTTTATAACATTATTATATAAAATTATAATATTATTAAAAGATATTTAAACTCTGCCTTTTCCCCCAAGGCAAAAGAACATCAATATATAATCCGCACCTTATTCTTTGATTATTTCAATCATTTTTGAATATATTTGACCTTTAATTTTAGTTATATTCTTGTGATAAACCCTTATTTTTTTGTATTTTCTTAGTAATAAACTGTTATTATCTAGTATTTTTATTGTAAAATTATTATTTATTTAATATTTTTGATTTAAACTCAAGTAAATTATATAATTTTTAATTTATTGCTTAATTATTTTATATATAGTATTTTTATTTTAGTTTAGGCTTTTATATTTTCTTGTTTAAACACATTTCTTAGCCATTCTTATACATTAAATCAAGTAATATATTTGTTTGACTTAACTGGCAACAACATATTTATTTATTAAAATATTTACAATTTGGTTAAATCAAACAAGCATATTACAATAAAAATAAGACTTCTAAAATAATATCTAAACTATTTATCTAGTTGAGTTGGTGTTCTATTAAAAGCTGATGTATAAAAAACTTTTTACTATAAGAACTACCAGTTCATTATAAAGTTTACATATAATTTGACATCTATAGAATTTCTATGAAATATATAAGAAAACACTATCCAACGCTGAATAATATATCTTTCATTACTTCTTTGTACTTAAACAGCACGGTGCATATGACCGTATTTATTCGTATATCATTTATTATAAGTGTATGTAATTGAGTTTATATATATTTGACTTCTACCTCACTAGCAAAATTTTGTACATTTATATCTTTAAAAATTAAGTAAAAAGTTTGTACAATATACGATTTATTACTCTTACATTAAAACAAACAGATATGCAGCAGAAAACATGAATTTTAGATCAACGATAGTGAATGATTTGCCTAAAATGTCCTTTCATATTCTTAAATCAATTCAGCATCTTCCAAGAATCGGTATTCAAACCTAATAATGATGGCAAATAAATTAGATAATGCTTGCTTAGGACGTGATTAATTTATGCTAACATAATTGGCGTACCTAAACTCTGTCTTTTTACGCTGGCACCATGCACCTTCGTAATCGAAATAAATATATGTACCTTGTTCGTATTCATCTGTAATTGCTTTTGGTTCTTCATGCCTCTGAAACCATGTTAAATATTTCTTGTGAAACCTCCAAGATTGCTTTTTTAATTCTCTAGCGGCAAGATATCTAAAAAATTACCACAAAATGGATGAGTTAAATAATCACGAGATTTAGTGTATAAATTATAAATAACAATACATACTGTTGATATGTTCCTTGCTGATAATAGAATATGAAAAAGAGTGTGTCGATATCGAATTTCTCAAATAACGCAGGATTGTCAAATATTGGTGGTGGTGTTTGTGGGTAATAAGAAGAGGTATGATAGGGGTTTCTTGGTGAATAGTATTTTGGTCTGTGGTTGATTGAATCACAATGTTAATATAACTCTGGATATAACTCTACTTCCAAACCAAATTCATGATAATACCTTTCGGCATCTAAGCTTTCCGGAACATATTGAAGACTTGCATCCAGCATTTGTTGGATATGAAAACCATCTTCTTTACCCAGGGCTACATAAAACAATTAAGAACCAAAATAATATATTTAGTAATATTTATATATCCTGAAAATAAGTCTAAAATTTAAAATAATATAAAAGCGTGATATGGTACCCCGCTGCTTACATTTCTCTTCAGCAGCTTCATATGACTGTACGAGATCAGCAAGCGCTGCTGGAATACGATTTTCCGCCGATGATGGAGGTTCATGCTGGGAAGGCCCTTCTTTTTTATTTTGTTCGGATAAACTTGTATCTGACGGTTGCTGTAAAAAAATTTTTTTACAATGAATATAATTGTTGACTTAGGATGAACTACATAAATTTATGGAACGCACTGATGAATGAGTGGGTGCCGGCGGTTGTACAGAAGGTATTTCTCGAGGTTGTGGCTGCTCTTGTGAAGGCAAAAGATTTTCACGCTGTTGATTTATGGATTGTGATGATGGTAGTGGTAATTGGGATTGTTTCTGCTATTATTTTAGAAATATGAATATATTATTCGTAAAAACAATTTGAATTAATCTTTACACAATGTGTTTTCTAAAATAAGAACCTGGACATCATTAGATTGCAAGTAATGCTGCCGGCTGGTATCATCAGAGTCGTTCAAAGGATCTATTATTATCGAAATTGCTGTAATAATAACAATAATAATAATGAAAACGAAATAAATAAAGATAAAATTACAAACCTTTCTTAATATCAGCTGGCGATGCTGGAACGTGTGGTTGTATAGTTTGCGTTGATTGTTGTGGTTGTGATGGTGGTTGCATTTGCGATTGGAATTGTTGTGACTGTGGCTGTGGCTGTTGTGATGGTGGTTGTGAAATTGATGATAATATCGATGAAGATGTAGGTGTTGGTGGAACAGCCGAATGATCCTGTATCGTTGATGTAGTAGTCGTTGAAGAAAAACGCTGTGGCGTAGATACTGGCGGCGTTGTATCTATGCCTTGCTTTGCTACTACTGCAGCTAATGTTCGTGTCGGACCAGTAAGAGGAGCGGATTTTAATGGAGGATATGCAGCTGATGTGGATGGTGGTGACTGAAGACTATTAACAGATGTTATTGAAGAACCAGTTAATATTGCTGGTGGAGGAAGTTTTTGTTTATCTGAAAATGAACAAAATAACGAATAATTAATAGATCGTTAAATAGATGATTGAAAAAATCTATATTAGAATTCATACCTTCTTCTTTCGAACGCTGTGGTAATGGTTCTGGAGGATTGCTAGTTTCTATATGTTGAAATTAATGAATAAGTAATACTGACAATAATTTGGATTAAAAAATAAAAATAAAATAAAATTAATTTATTGATAAGATAATTCATACTTCTTGTTGGAGCAGATGCAGGTATAGGAGGTTTTGGCACAACAATTCTCGTTGTTGGTGACGTTGCCGGACTTGAAGGCTATTTAATATAATAACTTGTTATTAAATTGGAACTAAAACTTCCGATTCACCTATCTAACTTAATCATATTCGTGCAAAAAAAAAGAAGGGTTAACTCTTACGTCCTTCGGTGGCGTCCGTGGTTCTGCGTAATCAAATAGAAAGCATTAATAAAAGCAAAATTTCTAGGATTTGTAAAACGGCAAACTATTTATAATTCTGAAATTTACCATCAGAATTGGATTCGTCATTACTATGATGATCTTCGTTTGTAATGCCCCATAATTCCTCTTCCTCTTCAAGATTCAGTTCATCATATATGTTTTCATCTTCGGCGAAATCGGGTTCCTTAGTTAACCAGATATTTAGATAAAATATATATAATAATAATTTAGGTTGCATGGAAAGAAACTATCAACCTGATTATTATCAACATAATATTTGATATCATCTTGGATTTGAATAACCTGTGGAAATTATTATTATTATTCAAATAAATTAACTCATTTTTCCCGAATATAGTAATCCAATAGAATAGGTAATATGCAGCTGATTAAACTAAAATTCCTACCTTTTCTGCAGGAATGTTACCATTTTCTAATAGACGCAATATTAATTCTAACCGATTCACATGGAACTTGTGTCTTTCTATCGTATTTTCCACTTCACCTAGCCGATCAGCCTTTGTAGCATCTTTTCGGCCTTTCTTGACAGCACTTTGAAGTAATTCAGCTTCAGCTTCAGCAGTTTCAATTTGGGTGCTAAGTGCATCAATTTGATTAGACACCCATTCACATGTATCAATCTTTTCTTTTT